CAAGCTGGCACATTATCTCCTGGGAAGTGGATAGTGGGTTCGAACCACCAACCTTTCAGTTAGCCTCCAAGCATTTAATCATTGTGCCCCCAGGGCTCCATAACTTACAATAGACAGTATGAACTGGTAGTTTTACCATGCCCCAGACAAGGCTGATACAGGGATACCTTGGTTCTATTCATCCTCCTCTTGCCTTCTGTGCCGGTTTGTCATTTGTCTTAATGTCACATATAGTTTAAACCTCACAATAAATTATTATGTAGAAACATCCAATATGCTTTTAGGTTCATCCTTGCATTTCTCATTTTCAGTGCTCTGTGTTCCTTTCTGTGTGTCTGTTCTCCTTGGGTGCCATTTCTCTCCTGCCTAGAGAAATCCCTCTAGTGTACCAGTTAGTGCAGGTCTGCGCATGCCATAGTTCCCCAGTTTTTGTTGTCTGATATTTTTCATTTCAACTTCACATTTGAAGAACATTTCACCAGGCATAGAATTCTAGGTGGATGTTACTGTATTTCAGCATTTTAAAGGTGTCATTCCATTGTCCTCTGGATTCCAAAGTCTGGTGGCAGTGTTACCTTTGTTCCTTTGAATGGGATGTATGCCACCCACCATCCCTCCCTCTCTCCCCCTGCTTTTTTAGATTTTTCTCTTTCTGTTTTTTCCCTTCCAGCAATTGGACTATGATGTACATATGTGTATGTGGTTTGTTGTTTTTTCTCCGGCTAGTAGTTCATAGAGCAATTTTAACCTAGCTGCATCTTACCTTTTATCAGCCAGCATTTTTTCAATTATTGTTTTTGCTGCCTTTTGTCTTGAAGAGAGAAAATGTTTTCTAGTTCTCCAATTACATGTGTGTTACATCTTTATTCTGTGCCATATGTCCCTGATGTTATTTCTAGTGTTTTCCACAGTTTTATTCTCTTCAAGGTTTAGTGTTGATCTTTTATGCTGACTCTCTTCCTTTCTACTTTTCTTCTCCTTTGATGCACCATCTTTTGAGAGGTCAATTTCAGTTACCATATTGTTCAGTTTTATAAGTTCCATTTGATTCTTTCTATTGGATGTCTATTCTCTGACTTGTTCTCTTCTTTCTGAATATAATAACTATATCTACCTAGCTACTGCCATCGAATTGATTTTGATTCATAACAATCCTGGTTGTTTCTAATATTCTGTCTGATACCACCACCATCTGGATCACTTCTGAGTGGTTTATTAATTTTTGTTAGTTTTTCAGACATGACTAGTATTTGTTTAATAGGCGTAGAATATGAAAAATGATAGAAATTCTAAAGTATTTTATCTTTCTCTAAAAAGGATTTAATTTTCTTCCTTAAGGCATCTAGATTAGGGGAAGTATACCTAGATTCATTCATGGATGAAAATAATTCAAGGATCAATCTCAGTGTTGTAAGACTGGTCTTTTCCCTGTGTGGCCTCAGTTCTCGGGCAGATCCATTTCCACAGCTGAAATCCTGAGTGGTTACCAGGCTCCCTTTTTGTTGGTGAACTCTGCACAGCACTTTGCCTTCCCAGTAAAAGGATGCAGAAATATCTTGTTAGCATTCTCACTTCTTAGCTTTCTGTTTTTCTGCTTCACTTCTGAACTGTTACCCTGTTCATCTTCGGAATCAGTAAGTACGTCGAGGAAGACAGTGTTGGAGAATTTTGGGTTCACTTTAGGCTACACATTTATTTACATAATCCTTCTCTGTCAAATCTTGGCTACCGTGTTATGTTTCATCTGTATTGATATTTTAATGTTGTTCTCACTTGGAAAGTTGATCGATATAAACTATGCAGTCATAACCAGAAGTGGAAAAAAATTGTAAATTTTATTGGCATTTTCAGAGAATAAACTGTTGGTTCCTTTGACCCTTTCTAAGGTAGGCATGGGAGCTCTGCTAGCATAGTGCCTAAGGCACTTGACTGCTAATCAGAAGGCTGGCGGTTCAAACCCACCAGCAACTCCTCAGAGGGAAGGTTGGGCAAACTACTTCTGTAACGATACTGCTTTGGAAACCCAAGGAGGGGTCACTATGAGTCGGGTCCGACTCTACGGTACGTAACAACAATAACAAATGTAGGCATATTTTCAACTTTATTTACTTCTGCTCTTATTCTTATACCTTACTTCTTTTGTTCTACTTTCGTTGAGTTGATTTGCTGTGCTTTTCCCAGTGATTAATGCTTGTGATTAATGCTTGGGCTATTATTTTTCAAACCTTCATATTTTCTAATATCTACAATTTCAAGGCTATAGATTGTCTTTAAAACATTGCTTGGAGCGATCAATCATTGGAGAACAGAAGGGCAGTGTTTCCACAGGGAGACAGCTGAAGGGTGGGAGTGCATGGGAAGGAAGGACACAGGGAAGAGGTAATTACAGGGAGGAAGTGGGAAAAGAGTTGTTACATTGTGGGCAATCACAGTCAATGTCATGAGACAAAACGTGTATGAACTGCTGTATGGAAGATGAATTTGCTCTGTAAACTTTCACCCAAATCAATAAAAATTAAAAACAAAACGTTGCTTTAGATTTTTTTCGTACAAGTTTTTGATCTTTTATCTCAAAACCTCTTCAGATTTTCATGTTAATTTCTTCTCTGACTTAAGAATTATTTGAAACATATCTCTTAATTAATATCTAACCACAGAGGGTTTTTTGAAATTATTTTTAATCATTGGCTTATGGTCTTATTACATAGAACATACGGTACATGACTTAAGTGTTTGGTACTTCTTTTATTTCCTAATATATGGCCAATATTTGTTAATATGTATGATAAAAATCTGCATTCAGTTGTTGGTGCATTGAACTGAATATTTCTGTTAGCTCTAATTTCTTACTTTTAATGGCACCATAAGCATTAAAACATGCTCAACTTATCAAAGTCTAAAATTAATCAACCTTTTGCACTCTTCTAAGGTAAAACAAAAGAACTTAGCAAACACTTCCAGTCCGTTGGCTCCTTTCCTCACTTGTATGTTAGCATTGTCTGGTACTTTAAACACTTTTATTTTTAATTTGAGTAGATGTTGGTATAACTACTGTTTTGCACACACACACAAAATACTCATTTTTATCTGTCCATGTATTTATCCCATTCTGTATTCTTCATTCCTTCTTTCATCTCAGTGTGCTATCATTTCTTTCTATTTTCAGCTTTTATTATTATTATTTTTTTTTTATTAGGATTTGGGTGAAGATTTACAGAGTAAATTCACTTTTCATACAGCAGTTCACATATACTTTGTCTCATGTCATTGACCAAAATTTACAATGCAGCAGCTCCCCTCCCACTTCCTCCCCATAGTTACCTCCTCCCAGTGTCCATCCCTTCATACTCTTCTGCACCCTGAGCTATCTCCCTGTGCATAAGCAGCCCTTCCTTCTCCCATGATTGTTCTCTCCAGGGCGTGTGTCTACTTGAGGTAAATGTTTAACTCACATGCCTGTACTTTGTTTGGCTGGAAACCACAGTTGTGGGTTCAATTCCAGACCTGAAGGGCAACTAGGGGCCATAGTCTCAGTGGTTACACCAGGCTCCATTGGACCAGCAAACCTGGTCCCCACCTTCTTTTTTTTTTTTTTTTTGCCTCCAAAAGATTTTGAGTTTTGTACCACATTGTTCTCCCTCTTTATGTAGGATCTCCTACATCCCTTCCAAGTGGATGACAGTGGTAGCTGGGCACCATCTAGTTCTTCTGGTCTCATAGTTGTATAGGTTGCAGATCGGATGGTGTACCAGTCGCTAGGACTGATTGTTTCCATTAATTTTGGTTTTCTTCTTTCTTCTTGACGAGGAGAGACCTGTTATTATTTCTTTAATTAAGTTCTGAAGGCAGAAAACTCCAATTTTGTATCTTTGAAAAATTCTTCCTTTCACCCTCACTCTTATATTTTCATGGGTAATGACAGGTCACCGGTTGGCAGTTATTTATTTATTTGTCTGCACATTAAAGGTAATATTCCATTATCATATGGTTTTTGTTGTTGCTCTTGAGAAGTTATCTGTCAGGTCAGTTGCTTCTTCTTTTTCCTTTTTTGTAATTTTCATAGGCTTTCTTTGTTTTTGCATTAGTGAAGGTGACTGAGAATGATTGTTGTAACAGTAATTCTCTGGGCATTCATGTGTTCCAAAAATAAGACCATTGACTGTCCCAGCAACTTTTCTAGTTTGCAAATTCTAACCAGTTTCATTCCAGACTACGCTTGTTGTTGTTAGTTGCTGTAGAATCAACAATTTTTTACAAGTCTTGTTGAACTTTTCTCTTTGTGAAGTCATACCTTTTGCATCCTTTTCCTCTAATTTCAGTGAGTATTTTGGAAAGAGCAGTGATAAATGCCTGACTTCAATCTTCCATGCTTTACCAGAAGTCCCCCCTATCAGAAGCTAACCCAGACCAAAACCATAACAGTATTCCACTCTTGATCTGATGTGCATCTAGGTTTAGAGCTGCTACCATACTGCTGTACCTCTATTTTTCTTTTAGTATATCACTCTCTATGTTTTATAATATTTGTATGTATAATTACTTCTTCTACTTATCTATGGATTCCTAAAGATAGGATTTTAATATACTTATTTTTCTATTAGGAGCTCTGGCAGCTTAGTGCCTGAGGCACTTGACTGCTAACCAGAAGGCTGGTGGTTCAAACCCACCAGCCCCTCCTCGGAAGGAAGATGGGGCAATCTACTTCCCTCGTGATACTGCCTTGGAAAGCCAAGGAGGGGTCACTATGAGTCGGGTCCGACTTGACGGCACATAACAACAACATTTTTCTATTCCACAATGCCTGGAATAATATCTAACGAATATTGTGAATTCAGTAAGTGTTTGTGAATAAACAACAATACATGTGTCTACAACAATATATTGGTAGTACTGATTGGATGCTAACATCTTTTTATAGAACCATTACTCCTAACAGTAGGGATGCAACATACTTACAACTAATAAGGTGGTAATAGCATGGCACTGACTATCTTGGTTAGCAAAGCCACAAAGGTAGTGTTGATCTAGTATGAAACCAAATGAGAGGAGAACGATTCCAGCTATTGCTCCCAGTGCACTAAGAGAATTCATCACTCGGCTCAGTTTCATCTGAAAGAGAACATGATGGAGTCACTAGGACTTGTACAGTAGACAAACAATGGGCTGAGAGACGGGAGCAGGACTTTAATCACAGCATCACCAACGCCATCAAGTACATGTGTGTTCTGGTGTGAGTTGCTTCACTTCTTTGGGCTTCAGGCTCCTTATCCACACAGAATAAGGATATCCAGGAAACTTTAACAACCTTTCTATTCCCTACATTCTATACCTGATATAGAATTGGTTGGTCTTTGGTGAAGATGGATGCACAAGGGACCAAAAAGGTGTCCTTGGGGGTATAGTAATAGTCATGTTGCATTGCGTTTTGATTCTCTGGTAAAAGTCTTGGCCTGTTCACACTGTTGTTTAAGACTTATGTTTAAATACTGAATTTCCTTGCATTTTGATTTCTTCCTAATACTACACATTTACGAGAATTACTCTTTGCTGAAATCAGTTATTGCCTTATTAATTCAAATCTCATCTCTGATTCTTTGAGAAAATACAAGTATTCTACTTATATCTATAAGTTAACATTTCCTATTCATTAGCACTATATTCTTTATATCTCAGTTCCAATTGCAGTTTAATTATGATGTCTACACAGTGCACATTTTATATGAGTTGATCTAATGTCTGTCAAAATTTCTGGCAAGGAGTTGGTTTTCATTGCTGTCAAGTTGTGTAGAATAGAACCACTCTATTGGGTTTTCAAAACTCTGACCTTTCAGAAGCAGATTGCCAGGCTTGTTGTCTGAGGACCCTCTGGGTGGGTTTGAACTGTGAACCTGTGGGCTAGTAGTCTAGCACTTAACTGTTTGTGCTACCCAGGGACTCTTGACAAGCAGTAGGCACTGAAGATACTCATGGAAAGAATGAATGGACTGATGATAACCAGAATGCTTGAGGTCCATTCTACCATTAATTGACTGGGAACTATGGACAAGTCATTTAACTCCTCTGTGCCTCAGTGCCTTGTTTTATAAAATAAGAACTGAACTAGATGACCTAGAAAAATCTCTTCTGTTTTCTTTTATAGAGAGATGAAGTCATGTTTTATGATTGTATGAAATAAGGGAAGCAAATACCATTGACTGATCCCAGTTCTAACTTGGAAATTTATAGAATGATAATGACCTCATGATATTCCAAATGTATTTTCAAGGTTAGGATGAATTATTTCAAAGTTAAAATGTTTTTAAGAAAGTGGAAATGTAACTCACCAGAGTTTTTGTGTTTTTTCTTTTCATTGCAATTAGGAAGGCTCCAGAATTAATGAACTGTTCAAAAGAATCAATATATTAAAGGATGTCATGTTTAGCTGATATTAAGGAGTTCTTACAAATATATCTCCCATTTTTTTTGCATCCTCTTTTTTTTTTTTTTGCATCCTCTCCTTCCAGTTCACACAACCCTCAGTTCAAAGAAGGGTGAGATACCTTACATGGCTATCCACAAGTGAATAGTGCACAAAACAATGGACCAGAAATTTGCTTTGTTCTTTAACTAATTTTGAACTTGAGGTTCCTCCCACCCCAATTTATTTTAAACTTTTTTAAAATTCTTATGACTTGGCTCTTCTTGCCTCTTTCTGTAGCTATTGTGACCTCAGCTTTGATATCATGATACACTGGTGTCAAATCAGCTTATGAACAGTGTGATAGGATTCCAACATTCCTATAAGAAACATCCCTCCTACCCATTAGCAATCAAATGCATTATCTTGAGTGGGAAAATACAGCACAGTTGCAGTTAATATGCTGGGAATTCTGAAAAATCCTGGGATTTTCACAGAGGTGAGTTATATTGGGTAGCATAACTGTCTATTGGAAACTTCAAATCTGATTACAGTGTACCTTTAGTGTAGTGCCCAAAGTACTTGACTGCTAACCAGAAGGCTGGTGGTTCAAACCCACCAGCCACTCCTCGGAAGGAAGGTTGGGCAATCTATTTCTGTCATGATAGTGCCTCAGAAACCCAAGGAGGGGTCGCTATGAGTCGGGTCCAACTCGACGGCAAATAACAACAACATGTGAAAAATACTGCTAGTCCCTCAGCCTGGAATATGCAGCCTCATTTCTCCAGCCTCATCCCTCCACCCTCAGTCCCTGTGCTGAACTCTTGCAGACTGTTTCTCCCATGGCATGCAACAAGATGTCTCCATCCTCACACCCAGCCATGCCTTATTCTCTTCCTCTGTAGGCATCCTCTCCTGATTAGCCACTCATCTGTCAAAACTTGGTTGAGCTGAGAAGGTCTCTGGAAAAGCTCTCTTCCATTTTGGTGGGGCCCTTACTAGAGAGGCTGCCTATGTATCCTCTGTTACCACTCATCACGCCCTGTGGGAATTGTTGGGTGCTCCACTCAAATGCTCATTCTCTGGCAATTAATTGATGTTTATTGAATGTTATTAAATATAATGAAATAAATGCCCCTGTGTAGCTCAAAGGTATATCTGAAAGACATTCCCCCTTCTCTATGTGTCCTAAGAGTAAAGTACTCCTTCCTCTTGGCTTACGTACATTCTCTATGCATTTCTGCCATGTCATGAATCATACCGCCTTGAAATTTCCTGTTTCCCTGCTTTTCTCACTTGCCCATTGAGAGCTCTTTGAAGGAAGGGTCTATGCATTATTAACTTTTGATCCTTGTTGCCTTGCTCCATGCATCTTGCTCAAAATTGATAGTAGTGACTCATTTGAGTGAATGAATGAATGAGCAAATGGACAACTTCAAGACCAGATGATGGTACATCACTAACTCCAATGAAACATGGGGAATAACTTCTATGAGGGCAGATTTCTTTCTTTCTTTGTCATTTTGTGCTTTTCGAAGCATATGACAAATACCCTGAACTGTCAACTGAATCTAGCTCATTTCATAACTAATAGTTCCTTAACATCCCCATCCCCAAGCTCCAACTTGCCATGGCTTTAGGTTGGACTCAATTGCCTATACTCACCAAAATAGAGCCCCAGAATGGATATCCTGAAATAAATATGAAGGGAAACCGTGGGTATGGTTCTACGTAGGTGAAAAGCATGATGATTCCAAAAGAAAAGTTCATCAGTCCAAACAGGATCTGGATAGCCTGTACATAAAGAAAAGGTCACGGTGAGGAAAAAGCCAAGAGATGGATTCACTTTCCTTTAGAAGATCTCCTTTTAGCTGAATGGATTTGATAATCTCCCTCTTCTGTTGAAAGGGGAAGGATAATAGAAGTCCCTTTATCATGGTCCCGGGTGTTTTCTTAATCCTCCTATCTAGTATTGGTGATCAAAAAAAAATGATCTAAATCAGTGTTCCCAAAAATATGTTTATAGACTGGCAACAACAACATCACCTGAGAATTAGTTAAAAAGTGCAAAATAGGAGCTCTGGTAGCGTAGTGCCTAAGGCACTTGACTGCTAATCAGAAGGCTGGCGGTTCAAACCTACTAGCCACTCCTCAGAAGGAAGATGGGGCAATCTACTTCCGTAGTGATACTGCCTCGGAAACCCAAGGAGGGGTCACTATGAGTCGGGTCCAACTCAACG